AGGGAAGAGGTTTCTAGAGGGAAAAAGATTCTTTTTAAAGAATACTGTCATAACATGAATAAAGTACTGCTGCTGTGATTTGTAGTGAAGAGAAAATTGTATACTACCTAATTTAATACTAAGTAATAGGCATTTGACTCCTATTTTAAATGCTATCTGCAACTCTGCATCCCTGAAAATATTGTTTTGTTTCTGTTTTATCCTCAAAAGAGGTCTTATGGATTACTCACTATGGTAGCAAATCTTCTTTCTTTAAATGCACTGCATTTGTTTCTTTATAGTTTGGTTCAGGGGCAAGTAGGGTGGGGAGAGCTGTATTTAAGAAAAAAACTCTTAATAAAAGTTTTACTTAAAAAAAAAAAATGGAGAGATTTGTATCGAACTAATATTGCATGCAAAAATTGCCTTCCATAATACCATTTATGCAGTTGTCTTAACTGTAGTAATATCTTTAAAGAAAATACATTAAGAACCAAATTCTGTTCTTTCATGCACATCGACTTCATTGTGGGACCTGCAAAAAGGAATCTGAAATTGGGTTTAACGCCCCAGGAAATGTTGTTTTGCAAGATAAAATAACTAATTATAAAATTTGTTGTTATATTTCTTTTCTTTTTAGCTAAGGCAGATGAAGCATTAAAGGCTAAAGAGAGAAGTGAGGAAGAAGCGAAGAAAAGAAAGGAAGACGGTAATGCATTTTTTTTCTTCAGTAACAAACTAAAATTCTGTAAGTCAGAAACCATTTTTAAGGGACCCAAGTTCCAGTGGGGCTGTGTGATTTTCTTATAAGGGCATCTGAAACAGAGATGGCCAGTCTGCCACTCCTTTGGTTCACCACAGGTTTTTGCTCATGCCATGTAACGTTCCTGTGACGATAACAAGAACTGGTAAATGCACCAGAAATTGCAACCAGATTTTAAAAAATATTTTAGCTGCCATTAAAGCAACCTAATAATTTGAGACAAAGTTACATGTTAAGACCTTATGACCAGCCAATACCACCGGTTTGTGTGCTGGATATTTTGCTTGATTAAAACAGTAAGTGCAGCAGTTAATTTTGTCTGTATTTAGTCTGTATGATGTCACGAAGTGAGCTAATCTGTTTCTTGGTGAAATTTGGTGCAAAGCTGGCAGGATCTGAGCAGTTTTCCTTTGGGATACCGTAGATGCAAAGTTATGTATAACGCCTGGATAATTAAAACAGATGTATTTTACTTGTATATCGTTGAGTAATGGGAAGAGACATTTTCAACAGCGTGATGGAGCCAATGGAAACAATCTAAGGAGCCTCAAAGTTTCTCACTTCAGCCGTGATAGACATCCCTGTCTCAGAGAAAATATCTTAGTTGTTCAAATTAAAATGAATGATTTAACTCTGTGACATCTATTATTTTTTGCATTGACTGAAACATAAAAAAATAGTGAAGGTCTTCCTTGCAGTGGTTTTACTCTAGAAATACATGTTGTCGCACATTGGTCGCTGCAGTGAACTTTCTCTTCAGCATATTTAAGTGATGGTAGGTTTCAGGTTGTAACTGTTATTTAATACACTGAACAATCTCCGTGTAAATGTGTTCCTGATTCTCCCTGCCCTGTGCCCCTTGTCTGCCTACCTGGGATTGCATGGATGTTCACTCAATATTTTAACCACCCAATAAAGAGGACCTAGGTTTGAAGATGATGTAATGTTCAAGGAGATCATGTATTTTTCAGAGCTGGCCTTTTGATGGACTCATTTACTACAAAAATCAGTGTTGTGCCCAAATATCAATCATATTTTGGTTAAGGCCAGGACATCATATATGGATGAGAGTGGTATGAAGTAAAGCTGTTTAGGACAGCTTGAAACTTAAGGAGAAATTAAGAGGTTGAGATATTTTTAATTCCCAGTGTGATATGATAACAAAATCATTAGACTAAACCAAAACAGGAAAAGTTGTGGGAAAGGGGAGAGGTAGTAGGTTGCTTGAGCATGTAGCAAATGGGAGAAAACACCTAAAGGGGACAGTAGTGATCTTTATAATTTTACTATGCCATCTCCTCCAGTCTTTCAAAAATATCATCTTTCTTTCCAATCTCTTTAATCTTATTGGAAAGTCTCCTTGTGTCTGCCCTCTCTTTTTCTATCTCTGAGCACACCAAGTTGAACTTCAAGGTAAAGATAGGAACTTCAGTTTTGCATCTGTCGTGCCTTCATCTCTTCTCATCTCTCCTATACCTTTCAGGTATCAGAGCCTGATTCTCCTTCTGCACATGCTGCATTTAAACCCCACTACACTGCCATCTATTTAACAATCCCACCAGTTTTCTGACAACAAGCTTCCTCCTTATCCTGCTTTGACACGCTTATTTTCCAGAAATCCTTCTTAACGGCCAAGCGGTCTCAAACAGCTAGTCCCCACTTGCATTTCTTTCCCTGAATTCCCATTCCATATCTTGGTCTGAGCTGCTGCAGTCTTTTAGGGCTCCAAAGGCTCTGAATTTTGTGGAAATCTTTTATATATTTATTTGATTTTGGAACAGGTCGTTAGCAAGATTTTTGGATTAGGAAAATACATCCTACCTGTTTCCATGTTGCCATCTCTTCTTAGGTGCTGACTTCAGGTGCTGTTTCTTTGGTTACAATCAAATTTCTCCAATTTTCTTCCTTACCCATTTTTTCTTTAGCTGGAACTCCAGCCTCAATAATTTCTGAAGGCAATTTAAAGCTTATTTGCACTTCAGATCTAAACAAGCTTCTTTAAATACTCATGTGTGAATGAGAAAACTAAGTATATTTTGCAGGTCTGATTCAGCTGGTTGCTATCCCACAGGATTTATATGTTTTTACGTGATTTCACACCCCCTGTTTTTTTCTAGATTTAGATATCTTTAATAAGCTCCAAATTGTGGGACTTACTGTGAAGTGTGCTAAGTATGTATTTCAAAACTCTAATGTAATCTTTATTGAAAATTATAGAATCATAGAATAGTTTGGAAGGGACCTTTAAAGGTCATCTAGTCCAGCCCCCCCGCAATAAGCAGGGACATCTTCAACTAGATCAGGTTGCTCAGAGCCCCGTCCAACCTGACCTTGAATGTTTCCAGGGATGGGGCATCCACCACCTCTCTGGGCAACCTGGGCCAGTGCTTCACCACCCTCAGCATAAAAAATTCCTTCCTTATATCTAAGCTAAATCTACCCCCCTTTGTACTTCTGTCTGCTTGCTGTGACCCACAGTCGTCCAGATTTCTGTCTGCTCTTGCATTGAATGGAAACTCAAGGGGAAATATTTCAGAAGTACCAATGTAGCTAGACGACTCTGTCATTCCTATCTTTGAATTTTTCTTTTCTTTGGACTTATAACTTGCTAGCTAGAAAAATAAGAGTATGCCACATTATTAAAGAAAAGAAATAGATTGATTCCCTACAAGAGTCCTCCATTCTTAGTTGAAGTCCAGGTTAAGACTCATCTTGTTTTAGTACAGAACACAAACCAATCGTTTTCTTTTCCTGTTAATCTGCCTTTCCATTAGTTCCTGAGATTAAAACAGTAACTAATATTCTTTTGGCTTCGTGGCCAAGTATGGGTATTTCTCCAGGCTCATTCTTTATTATTCATCTAATAGCTGCTTTAAGGTTTATGAGAAAAAGTAAAACCTACCATAGGGATAATCTCAAAGATGGCGAGTGGCTTTTGCCAAATGGTTCGCAGCAGCCCTGCAATTATCTTATTGCTTTATTTCTCAGAAGGGAAACACTCTTTTCTTAAGCTTTTGCTGTAAAAATTGTGAAACTCTAAAAAAAATTACTTCTATTTTAAAGGTCTGATTTAACATGAAAATTATATGCATTGTAAATGTTTTCTTGGCAATTTACTTGTCATAAATGTCTATTGTACTGAAAAACTCTACAGGGAATTGGATGTATTTATTCTGCATGTACTTAGGAATTTGTAAAAAGACAAAATGACAATAAAAATAGAAATATTATGACTAGCTGCAAACCCCCAGATACAGAGATTAGTTTCAGCTCAAATGTAGCTTTCTGAGGTCTGAGTTTAAGCCAGGCTTCCTAGCAGGGATTAGGTACATGCTATTGTACTTTCATAGAGAGGAGAGCACCAAACCAAATATAAATATTGTGTGGTATTGACGGAAGACATCCAGAGCCGATGCGTGTAAAATAATGCAACAAATAACACATAAGGCTCAAAACACTGCTGTGTTCGTGCCAACATTATTCTGAGCTCAAAGCTCAGCTTCACTGCTGAAAAAGTAGTCCAAAAAGAGTTGCTATGGCCCAAGCTCTGCTCCAATTCAAAGCCTACAGCTAGTGAGAGGTCCTTGGAAAGCCCTTCCCAGCTTTTGCATGGAAATGTCCCCACGGGGCAGCATTCCAGTCAGTGGGAACTTCACTGGACTGCCACGACTTCTCAAATACGATGGATAGTGGCTTAGCAACTTCATCCATCAGTTCCTTCAGGACCCACGGATGGATCTCATCGGGTCCCGTGGACTTGTGCACCTTCAGGTGCCTTAGATGGTCTCAAACATCTCCCACAGTGGGTGGCTCTCCATTCTCCCAGTCCCCTCTTTTGCCTTCTGTGGCTTGGGTGGTGAGGCTTGAACACTTGCCAGTGAAGACCAAGGCAAAAAAGCCATTAAGTACCTCCACCTTCTCCGTGTCCCGGGTAACCAGGTCTCCCATTTCGTTCCGGAGAAGGCCCATATTTTCCCTTGTCTTCCTTTTATCCCCGACATACCTACAGAATCTTTTCTTGTTGCCCTTGATGTCCCTGGCCAGATTGAATTCTATCAGAGCTTTAGCTTTCCTAACCTGATCCCTGGCTGCTCGGACAATTTCCCTGTATCCCTCCCAGGCTACCTGTCCTTGCTTCCACCCTCTGCAGGCTTCCTTTTTGTGTTTGAGTTTGTCCAGGAGCTCCCTGTTCATCCATGCAGGCCTCCTGGCGTTTTTGCCTGACTTCCTCTTTGTTGGGATGCATCGCTCCTGAGCT